CCCAAACCCAAACCCATGTGTAGAGAATTCAACATGGTGTGACTGCTGAATTAAACCTACTAGTGGGCCAAACCCAAACCCAAAAAGCGAATCAAAACAATATAATAAACCTTTGAATAAACTTCTCTGCAATGAAGTTAAAAAATAGTATTTCAATTTTGATTTCTCATAACTCTTAAATCAAAATGACAATGATTGTTACATTATTTGATTAGAAAATAATTTTTATATTTGAACTATTTGTGAAAATTAAAAAAATTTTGCATTGATTTAATTATTTCAATTAATATTTAATGAAACGATATTAAATCACATAATAGTCAAGGATAAAAATATTTAAAATAATAAAGAGTTTTTCAAATCACTCACTCAATTTTCATATATTTATTCTTCTTCTTTACTCAAATATTTTATTAAGCAATGTCAATTCTTCGAATTTTTTTAGGAAAATAACAAATGACAACAATTATACTAAAAATTATTGAATATATATGAATCTAATAAAATTACAAATTATAATTACAGCAATAGAACTAGGTAACTTTCTTATTTATCTCTTCTAATAATTAATTTTTTTTGGAACTTTTTTCCAAAAATTTAATTCCATCCTTCATTTCTAACAAAATCAGATACTCATTCAAAAGTTTATTCTCCATATATCTGTACAAAAGACTATTCATATCAAAAGTAGATTAATGATGGAAAAATCTATATTACTAGTCTATCCCTTCCATTTTCTTATCTTATTATTCATTTACTAAAATACTTATTTGCAATTGATTGAAAAAGTCATAATCTTTTAAAGCAATGCTTCTAAATGAAAATAGCTTAGATTTTTCAACACTTTGAATAGTTAAGTGAGATTAGAATTAAATATGTAGACATTATTTTATATTTAGATGGATTCCATCTAATTTTAAAATCAATTAAGAGTCCTTTTAATAAAAATTAAATAGAATAAGATCAGGTTAGATTTACAATTTAAGAGATGAAAAAGATAAAGCTATTATAGTTAGTAAGCTTAATACTTAAAATTTAACTTTAGGGAGTTTAATTATGATAATGGTTTACAATGAAGATATGAGGCCATAATATTATAAATAATTTGATTAAATCCTTCGTCTTGGTCATCTTGATTTTACTAATTAAATGAAGTATGATAGAAGAGCAGAAAGTGGAGAAGGTAGATCATCTGCAAGAGAAACCAATTTAAGAATTTGTGCAGAAGTTATAGCTTAATAATTTCTAAATTAAATGAATATCTCTCTTTCGCCATTGGTTTTATCTGTATGAAATATTGAAATTCCTATGAAATCTAATAATAAAACATATAAGGTCCTCCATCTCTAAATTAAATTAAAGAATTTAATACATTATATTAATTTAGAAATCCACATTAAGAATCTAAATTAGAATTGATAATGATATTTTAATTTATTAAAAATTGATAAGGATTCAGTATGAAGAACTGTTACGGATATCCAATAGGATTAGGAGAATCATGTTTTGATAAATTTCAAACAGTTTTAGCTCATGCTATAATGAGTATCCCATCAATATAAATTATATTGTACAAGTATAAAAATAAGAATTTATATTTAATCTTTATATATAATTTAATTTATTTTATATCTATTGAATAAACAACAATGAGTATTTTTTATAATAAAAATGAAAATAATTAAATAACTGGAGGCTGCAATAAAATCGAATGATACTTTAATCAAATTACTTCCAGCATTACAATTAATAATTAATTCATTTCAGATCTTCATTTTCATATCAAAGACACTTGATTAGCAAACTTATCTTAATTGTTTATCCATTACTACCAGAAGCAATTAATATAATTTTAAGACAACTACTAAATGTATTTAAAGACTAAGTAGAATGATTCTGATTAAGCAAGAATATTTTAATCTAATGAAAGACTCTAAAATCTAATTAATTTTATTAGAGATCCATTTATCTCATAACCAAGCCTTTGATACTGATAACTTAGCTGAAAATTTATTTGAATTTGATTCAAACAATTATAAAAAATTCAAAAATATTAAAATAGATAAACTATTTACTATTAAATCATTTAAAACTTTACTCTTTCTAACTGATATTCAAAATCATAAACTATTACATTATTTTAGATCTTTACAATTATTTAAAGAATAATGCAAATGAAACAAATCCTCATTTAATTTAATTCATCTGTAAAACTTCATTTAAATATTTAAGTTAGATCTATCTCAGGGCTTTTGTAAAATACTTAATCAATACATATATGTATTTCTTTAGATAAATCTTATGTCATTGATATTTTAATAATTCTTGAATTGTCAAGGATTCATTTGATACATAATTGATCAAATCATAAACACGTTATTTTTTGTCTAAATTGTATGCTATTTCCTTATGAAAAATAAAAAAGAACAATTAAATAATCATCTTTTTATTAAAAAAAAGAAAAGTATGACATGCAGCTTCAACTTAAATTTATATTAGAAAACATTCTGGTACTACAATGACTGGAAAATTCAGTAAGATAATCAAAGTTGAAAATTTACATATATTAGAATTAAATGGAATATCATAAGACATTGATAGATTTAAGAATGTCATTTAATTTTTTCAGAATAATCAACTTGATTATGAAGAAGCATCAAATTTGGTAGTTAATACTAAACCATGAATGAATACATTGCTTTTAAAATTCTCAACTTTTAAATCTTATAGTTAATTCATTTTAGCCTAAACTGATTGTTTTCCATAATTGATAGATGAAAAATTAATTAATCTTAGAAAACTACTTAAAGACAACACATTAAAAATGTTAGAACCTGAAAATGGTAGTGCTTAGAATTGGGATATTTAATTGTCAACATATTAAAATAATTATCAAGTTGCAATAGTAACGAGGAACAGTCTAATAAAATATATAGAAATCGAATTCCGAGATTATGCAGAAATACTGCTATATTAATAAACAATAGTAATTCTTTAGTAATTAAATTTAGAATCATATGCTTTTAAATATGGTAGGATCTCAAATTTATAAAAATATTTTCATGAATCTAGTATGAAATTTATTTGTTTAGGCTTTGAAAAACAGTTGTTAAGTTTAATTTTCTAAGTGAATCTTATTGTGTCAATTTATACTGCTTATAAGAATACTGTGATTAATAAGGTTACTATTAAAGAGTGGAATACAGAATAATATATTCTATATTTACAATAATTAAGTTAACTAATAATAAAAGCCTTTGATTTGAGAGAAGATTTAAAATTACTTAGATAGTCTTTAGTTCGGTTATAATCTATTAAAAATTTAAGGAATTATCCTCAAGAACTTAATTTAAATTTGATGTCAATCAAATGATAGTAAGAAATGGTAGAAAAAATAACAAATTGGCATCAATAATTAAAAATCATAAATTATAATCTTAATTTAAATTTAACTAATTATTATTCTGCTATTATTAATTCTTTAGTATATTGCTCAAAGTAATACCTTTAACTCTTTAATTTATTTAAGCTGCTGGTTCAGAAATTATTATTGGTTTCAATTGCAAGATTTCTTTAGCATCATCTTAAATTGTTCTATCGCTGCTAAATTTAAAAAAGATCTGATAGCATTTTAAATATTTTCTTTGGCTCATTCATTTGGTTAACGATACAAATCATCAACCTAAATTTATCAGAATTAATTTTTACTTATTATTATGTTTTTATATAGTCTTTGAAGTATTAACCAACAATTGTCATTCTTATGTCTTATTCCATTTCAATTCTTAATTATGTCTAAATCTTCCATTATAAATTTCTTAAAATACTTTCAATAATTCTTATCTGTATTCGTCATTTTTTCTTTCATTTTACAGTACAATATATTATATCTATATAATAAGGCTTTAGTATCTTCATCTATTTACTTAAAATTATTTGTAAATTTTTAAATAATTTAAGTCTTTGTATAAAAAATCTAAATTTTTTAAGTTTAATTATATCCTAATAATTTAAGATAAATAATAATCAAACTATATCAATATTTTCAACTTAAGTTCCAAATATAAACATATCTTTTCTTTCAACTGCTTCATCAATTTCTAAACTATTAAGCATAAATTCATAATAAATTTCATATTTGATATACCTAATGATTCTGTTCCAGCAGTTGAAATATGTTAAAATAATTCTGCAGCAGGAATAATAATTTTAGCATTACTGACATTATAATTAGGCATAAAAATTACTTTTAAAAGATCTCCATTAATGATCATTATTAATAACATAGCAACTGAATTATTAATTTAATAACTCATTTTGCATTAACATAACCAGAAGCTTACTTTACCACCAAAACATACACTTCTAGGTACAATCTTTTACTTTCTTCAGGTAAAGATTCTGTAATGACCAAATCATATAAAATGTTGATTAATTATCTTTTGTATTCATGAATTCTTTTGACTTAAATATCAAATAATGAATCAATGGTTAAATCAACTTAACAGGTATTCCTTCTTCTTCAACAATTGAAAGAGCACTTAATTTACATCAATTATTTTTATATTTTACTATTATATTAGAATAATATACTTTTTCTAGAAACAAGGAATTAATTAAATACATAATTTCTAAATATCTTAGAAGAATTTTTTTCAATCAAAGGTTGAGCTTCTGGTAAAAATGTATGATTTGTATAATTGAAAGATTGAGTAACAATTCACCAAGAATTCATGTTATCCAATTATTCAATATCTATTAAAATAAGAAGTAATTCAACAATAGCTAATGCAGGATGTTTATCATTTAATTATACAGCTACTTTTGCTGGAAATGCAATCCAATCTAAAACCTTTCTTCTCTTAAATCTTCTTACAATATCTTACATACTGACAGAAACCAATAGATATTATTATTTTAATCTTAATTCTTTAACAGCATCAATTGAATCATTTAGATATAAAACAGATGCTATATTTTCTTCCTCTTATCTTTATTCTAAAGCTTTAAAATAATCTCCTGTATTAAAACTACTAAAATCGAATTCTGATTCAGGATGAAATTTTCCATAATCTATTATATTTTCTGTGTAACCATAATTGTTTTACCTCCTTCCAAAACGCTTCTTTCAATCCATGATCCCTTACTTTTTTTACAAGCCATAATATCTAATCTAATCCTTCTATTTCCCATGGATTTTCATAATTCAACCATAAATCTGGGGATTCTCCTTAATAACCATATTTAATTAATTATTTAAACATTCCATAAACTAACCTAAGTTAAGTTTTTAATTTTTATCATAATACTCTTATTATTATCTCTTTCATCATTATTATAAAATAACTTCATTAATCATTTATAGTTAAATAATGAATTATTATAAAATATTTTACTTATTAAATTCAAGAAAATAAAAATTAGTTCTTTTTTTATTCCCTTCCAAATTAAATAATAAAATAAAGTTTATTTAATATTATTTATTTTGATATAAAAAAAAAAATTATTAAGAATTTCATTATTTACTTTATAATGAATACTAAATAAAGAAGTTCTATGGGTGGCGAATCTAAAAAGCCTTATGATGAATGCCCTAACAGAACAATTTAAGTGGTTACTCCATAAAGAGTGTGTCTTACTTTAAGATCTATGACTGCTTCTACTGAAAAAAATTGCATACATTAGGAAAACTTAGGTATGATAAAAATTGAAGCTTAATGCTACGATTAATTATGGTGAACAATCTATAAGAAATTCAATATTTTTAAAAATGAAGATTGGGGAAAATTTGAATTTCCAAGTTGTTTAAAGAGGAAAACAGATTTTAGAAACTTCAAAAATCTAAAAAATTGTATTATCATTTATATATCTTTTCAAAATTTGAATTAGAGTATTAATCTAAATAAAATTTTAGCTCTTTTAGAATAAATCAGAAGAATGAATTGAAACGGTAGCTAATTATTTGGTTAAACTAAGCTTCTTTAGAACTATACCTTTAAGAATGATAAAATAAATCTCTAGTAGATTATAAGCTAAAAGTATGAAGAAGATGAAATTATATGTCAAAGGAGATAAAGGAGATTTTATGTATATAATTTTTGATGGAAAAATAGAAGTTTTAGGATTGAAAAACGTATTATTGGGACCAAAAACCTTAATTGGCAGAAGTGCTTTAGTATATGATTATTTTATAAATAATACTATATAGGCAGTAACTGTGATACATTTATTAATTTTGAATCGAATATATTAAATTACTATTCTTATTATCATTATATTGTTAAACTAGAACTTCGGCTAGAAAAATAATTATGGAATTAGAAGATTAGAATAGATGGCCTATTGTAATAATTCTAAATAATCTTTAATAGATCAAGAAAAATGGTTAGAGATTATTGATAATGATTTTGAATAAGAGAAAAAAATTCAAAAATTAATATATTTTCTGATTTTAAACTTTTAATCATTACTAAACCTTTTTTTTCAAATATCAAAAAATAATAGATAGATTTTAAACTATATTTTACTTTGAAAGAAGTTGGTCACAAATTTAAAAGTGAAGTAAATTAAAGATAACAATTTGCAAATTCATTCATTTAGCTTTATGTTTCTAAATCATAATTTTTTAAGGTTTATACATCAAAAAAGTATTTACTCAAGCTGATATAAAATATTTTTAGAATTACCAATTAAAAATTCAGCTTTGATTTAAAATTAATTAAACAGGATTCTATTAGAAATCAATTGAGTAAAAGCAAAAACTTTAAATGGTAAATTAGGCTATTTACACTCATTTAGATATTATCAAAATACATTAATAAACCTATAATTTTCTTTTGATTATGATAAGTTAAATCCATTAATTTTAAGATTAAGAAAGCTTAAAAGAAATGATCCAAAATGATATGTTATTAGGTAGATTTCTAATGTTTTAATTATCAATTCTATTTTTTGACCTTTTTTACTTTGTTAAAAAATATATTTGAAGAAAAATTTATGAAAAGTTATTATGCTTAAATTTTTTAAAGCAAAAAGTAAAAATTAGAAAGTTACTAAATACAATGGGGAAATATGAATATTGTTTAATTCTACTAAAGTAATACAAGCAACAACTATTACATTTCCAATAAATGAAAAATTAAAAAGAAATGAAGTTCTACAATAAAACAATTTCAAATATTTATTATTTAATTAATGTTTCTAATTATTTATTGCATTATACATATTTCAAGAGCTATTTAGACGTTAAGATGATTGAGGATTAAAATGCTTTATGTTTAGAAGGTATAGTTGATTGTGTTGGTGGTTCTAAAGTTGTTTATAAGAAATTTAAATACTGTTAAAAATTGAACTTTAATTTACTAGTTTTTGATTTTGGATCTGTTTTCTTTTTGAGATATCTAAAATAAAATAGTGATTTAGAAATAAATGATTAAAAATAGTAATTAACTATAAATGAACTGTAGAAATATATTGTATAATAGAGTTATTATTTTGAGAAAGGAAATGAGAGATGGATAAATATTTAATATTTCTTGAACAAAGTTTTAAGCAGCAACAACATAAATGGATTATTTAATAGGAATTAAAATGTAAATCCTTATTATTATAATTGGAATACAATTATTGTGATGGCACAGGACATTAAGGTTATATAGATTTAGCAATTATAAATTCAAGATAAGACTATATATAAGAGGAGAATTAATATTTAAATCAATATTTTCAGAGCATTTGACATAATTATCTTAGGCAAATAAAATAGTTGTTTCTGGTTATTAAGTAGAAGTTATAGATATATTTAGATGGATACAATATATAAGAGATCGTTTGCAGTTGAATTTCTAAATTTTGGCAACTCTTGATTTAGGTATATTTCTAGATTTGTAACCATATGACGGCACCTAAGCAACAATTGATAGAAGATAGAAACAATATCATAAATTAGCAAATTAGTAAGTATATCCTATAATGAAAAATGGAAATGTCTGTCATTTTGAATAATATTTACTATAATTACCCTTATATGATACAGCATTTGTTGTTGCTAGTCTTGAACATTGGTATTAAATTTAGTAATAAAATAGTTTTACATAAAAAAATATATAATACTTCCAATTGGACAATACTAAATGAATCTTTATAGACGATAGCGAACTCTTTAGGAAATTAGATATAAAATCTAGGGTATTATCTATATTGATAATGTATATTGGTCAGACAATAGGGGATGTTCAAATATTTGATTATTTAAATTGATGTCCTAACAGAAAAATCAAATGAATGTTATGGTACACAATTGTGAACCTCATCCTAAGACTTTGACTAAATAAACTAATAATATTCAGTAATCTTAAATACAATCGGATGTTTAATCCTTTAATATTTCTAAAATCTTCCTTCGTAATATTTGGCAGATAATAGTAAGCAACACCTAATTAAAACTCTGAAATTAGACAATAAAAATATAATAGAAATATGGACATATTATATGTTGTGGTGGAATAGTTTAGAATTAGAAAGAAGACAAGAAAACTGATGTAAATACTCCAATAATTCTAATAGAAAGTTAATACAAATCAGTTCCAAATAACTATAATAATTAACTGAATAATAATTCCTTCAAAATTAATAATAGCAATATTATTAATTTTTACTATAACAACAACAAAGCAAAATGATAAATAAAAACAGTAGTTAAATCAATAATAATAAGAAAATCCACACAATATAATTAAAGAACATAACTAAATTATTGAGACTGTTTTATTTGCTGCATAAGATAATTATTAAAGAGTATTTAAATAATAAAAAATACTTAATAGTAACCTAGCTAATAATAATTATCAAATTAGTTATAAAACCAAGCAAAAGTATATGACAAAAGTTAATAATCCAAATGTTGAATTGAAATAAAAAAATCCAAATTTCTTAGATGTGTTTGGAAATGGTTTAGAGAAATACTATCAATAAAAACCATATTGAATATATGTAAGAGAGTGAACTATATGGGGTTAAATATCATCAAAGATACATATTGAAAGGTATGAGTTAATAAATGGGCATTATTATAGATAGAGATAAATAAACACAAGATTAAATTAAATCGTTAAATGTTATTAGTAGATATTACAGTTATAAATGATAAATAAGAAAAGAAATAGAAGATGAATTTTAAAAAATGATTAAATTTAAATAAGGTTCCCTAAACAAAGGCCTATGAAAATTGTGAGGAAGAAGAAAAATTGAAGTAGTAATGAAGTGCAGCTGTTTAAAAATAAAAGATATGATTTGACACATTTATTAATTTATTGAGTTTATATATGATAATGTTTATCTAAATAAAATATTTATTAATGTAATAAATGTAATGGCATATGGCTCCTAGATATTAATAATAACAAAGGAATCACCAATGCAAAGACAATTAACTATGCAAACTTTCACTCCAGCATCAAATGGTGGATAATGAAGGGAAACCATATTCATAGAGGTAGATAAATGTAAAATATACTTTAATATAATGGATAATCTTAAGAAAAAATGGCTTTAGGAATTCAGATATTTGAAAAAGAAAAGAATATTCTTAAAAGATAGTTACAAGAAGCTAATCTTTAGATTTAGGTTTTGAATCAAAATCCAACTAAAAGTCTCTTACTCCAAAGAAATAGTTGGTATGTTTAAAAGATATGTATGAGATACAATTCCATAAAAGGTAAAAATGAAGAGATATAAATTAATCTCTCTTATAAACCTAATCTTCTGTAATGGGATTAGGAGAGATACATATAAGAACATATAAGTTTAATATTGAATGATCAATCTATGAGTAGCATTGATGTCCTTCAGTTATAATGTTGATTTTCATATATCTCATACCAAATGAAGTATACCAAGGAATTGTGATAATGATCTTTTTATAAGCAACATGGTGATATGTCTTTCATTTAAAGAAAGATTTGTATAAATAGAGAAAAAGCAAAGGGAATTACAGAACAAAAATTAGGTAAAAAAAAAAATTATTCCTTTCTTAAACCTTTTCTTTGATGATTTAATCTTTAAGACATGTAAGGATTTTTAGGGTGAGATGTTTCTTTCTCTTTGTTTTTAAACATATCTCTAGGGTAGCTAAATTTACTAATTATTTATTGTAATTCTTGAGAAATGTGTTCTAAATGTTTCTTTAAGCTCAACTACTATATTTCCTTTAAAATATATTTAATAAAGTTTTTTCTGCATCTCATGTTAATTCAAGTAGTGTGCCTCATAAATACTTATCCTACTTCTTTCTCATTTCACCTTAAGTCTTATAGAATTCCCCATTCAACTCAATATATCAAGACTACCAAACTGAATCCATTTTCATTTTACTTTTATTTCTCTTAAGTTTTTTTGATGAATCTTTCATAAAGATTTTTATTATCCTCAACTCATACAAATGTTTGGTTTTATATTCTTATAGTATTACATTTATGTTTTCTCATAGATAGAGAACTACATTTATGATCATTTAATAATTCAATTTACTCTAGAATGAATCAGGGATGCCTTAAAATAAACAAAATTTTCTAAATTTTCACATCTCATGCTTATTTTATTATAGCAATCAATACTTTTTTATAAGATTAAACCATAATCAAGTTCTCAATTTCTATGCTTCATTACTTAATTTCTTCAATAATTTTAGGAATTATAACTAATTTCTAGTGAAGTGCTTCCTGAGAATTATTTCTACCTCTTTTCAAGGATATAAATTTTTATATTTGCATGTCATAGAAAGAACACTCAATGATTAGGAATTGTATTATTATAAGTAAAGTCTTATTCTACAGTAGTTATTTTCTAATTGAAATTTTCAAATATCTTTCAATTTATACTTATTTGTTACTTTTATCTACTAATTTTACCATAAAGCATATACTAAAGAAGAAATCTAATCTATTAAGAACCTCTAAATACTGTCTCTCTATCTCCTTATCCATCGTACAGGTATTCAATATTGTTGATGCTTCCTTATTTGTAAGAATTTATTTTTTTTTCTTTTAAAGTCATTTATATTGAGCCTTAACAAATGTTGAAGAATGGTTGATCTCAGTTAGTTATTATCATATTTAGCCATCCTCACATCCAATAAATAACTGATACAGTATTTTGGCATCAAATCTCAATAGCCCAATCAATTCTTTAATTAAATTTGTATTAAAAATTTAATATATCATTTACTTTTGATATTCAATAAATTTCTAAAATATAGTTCATTTTTCCAAAAAGTACCTCGGTAATTTTCTTTATTTTTTTGAACCATTAATACATACTGTTATAGATATCTAATTTATTATAAGAATTGATCCATAAAATTGGAGAATCTTAATGGTATAGAGAATTATTGTAAAGTGAGAAATATAAGTTCTTTCTTAGTAGATAATGTATCATATTAAAATAAGATTCTGTAAGAATTGTTTTGACATTAACAAAAGAGAAGTAGTAAGTTTTAGTTTGTTGTAATGGATGAGATATTGATATCTCTCGTTTAGATTGGGATTGATATATGAAAAAACTTTTGATGTTTTAATGATCCATATTTAAAATAAATGAATTAAAAATGAACACTATTTTTGTTGAAAAATCTGCTAAAAATAGCACTGAATAATTTATATTTTTTAAATTTTCAGATTGTCAAAATATTAATTGATTTTTCATATCACATTTATCAGCTCTTTTTGAATTCTTTTTTGTTTGGTTTATAATAAGACTAGTTGTTATGGAATATACTGTCTTTATTTGCCTTTGATGATAAATAAAAAGAATAATATGGAATTGCGTTTTAAGAGAATCTTGTTTAAATAGATTAGTAAGAAAAATTACAGAAAAATCTATTATTAATCTCCTGAATTTAACGATATCTATTGTTTATTTCCTTTATCATCACATTAGCTAGATAATATTTATGATTATGTATAGAAATCAAATTTTTAGATTTTTTTTAAATAGATCAAGAAAAATTGTCTCATCTTAATTAATAAAAGTTAATATAAATAATATAAATTATTTAAGAAACCTAAAATGAGAAAATAATAGAAAAACTTGAATCAATCCAACTTGTATGAAAAATTATTTATTTCTATACATTATGTGATAATGATATTTTAAATAGAACTATTACTAATTAATAATTTCACTCTCTCTATCCATTATGTAAATAATTATAGTACCACTAAAACTATAGACTAGATTCAATTCATAGATCCTAATTTACAATAAAATTTTCAACAATAGTTATATATCAATTAACTTCTTACTAATATTATAATATATGTGTCCAAATTTATAATTGATGATCTAAATTTTATGATCAGATACTAAAATATTTATAAAATTTATTATTATCACTATGATTATGACAATAAAGTTTTCCAAATTGATTAATCATTTTAAAATATTTGATAAAATTAATGAATATATCTATATTAGAGATTCAATAATTAATATTTAAGTGATGTTTTTAAGAATTTCTTTTAATATTAAAATCTTGCTTTCTAAATTTAGAAATAAAAAAAATAATAACAAATTTAGTTATGCAAAGTAACAAAATTTTTTACTTTTAATTATCAATGAATGATTCTATTTAAAAAACATTGTTTTTAAGAATTATTATACATCATTTTTTTTTAAATGATTCAATTATTTTTTCATGCTGTAAATTTATTTTCAATTTTTTATAACTAATTACTTAACATTTTTGGAACTAAGATATCTATTTTTAAAGTGTGAATTCAAATTAAAAGATCATATCACACCGTTTGTTCTAATTAAATTTTTTTGTGATATTAAAAGAAATAAGGCAGAAAATCCTAATGGATTCTAATCATATTAAACTTATAATTTATCATAAAATTTAAATTAAAATTCATAATTTTATGAAGTAACTGTTTATTAACAATTAAGTGTTATTTTACAATAATTTTAATTTTGAAGAGAAAATATTTAAAAATGTGAAGCTGAATCCAAAAAGAATTACTTGAGATCATTAAAATAAAGTGAATAAAATAAATTTAAATAATTATAGCCATTTGTAAATATTTGTATTGGAAAATAGTTTAGTTATTTATTCTTTAATTCTTCTTCTCCTCAATATTGTGCTTTTTATTCCCAGTTGATTTTTATAATTAACTAATAAGTATAATTCTTATTTTTGTAGTTGATTAAATATGTAATATCTAAATTAACTTATACAAAATGTATTATTTAAACAGTTTATACCTTTGAGAAAGAAATGGAGGGGGTTTAATCTAACAAAGTTAGATTGCCTGATTAAATACAACTCAAAAATAATAAAAACAAAATCAATAGCTAAAAAAATTAAAATATTATGTACAAATATTCTTAAATTGTCAATTTTTTTTTCAAAGTGATTTCATCTATATTTATAATACTAATTTATAAATCAATATATTATCCTTTATTTCCGTGTAATTCCCTCTCTTAAGTATCAGAAATATAAATGACCAATTGACTTATTATGATTATGTTCAAAATGGCATTAAAGTTTGACAATATCTCTAGCTTTTAAATAAAAATCATTGATATCCCTAAACTCATATAAGCTTGGCTGAAAAAGTTGGCGATGATTATAATTTGTTAAACAAATTTAATTCAATAACATTGAAGTGGAAAGTCTCACTCATAATTGAATTTCTAAAATTTCAATACGATTTAAATGCAACCTAACTGGATTTTGAATTAAAGATTAGTTTTATATTGATATAACTCTTCAGTTTGAAAATATTCATATTTTATCGGCTAATAATTTTGACAATGAAAAGTATAGAAGTTTATATGTTACCATATAAAAATTTTTAATCATTCTTATTCATAATTTCAATTGTTCAAATTTTAAATTATTTTATTTATTTGTAAATATCTGTTTTAATTAATATTTATTTTGATTTTTAATAATCAATATTTTCAATAGTAATTTTTAAAAATAATAAATAAGATTTTTAAATTAATAATAACAAAAATATAAGCCCACCGCAATCTAATCCCATCTTTTTTTATCTAAAAATATGCAAAAAATTCAAAAGAAATTAATAAATTTTTTTTAAATAATCAAAATTATTTGTAAATATTATTTAATTGATTATTATAATTTTTTTAAATTATCATGAAGAATGGATGCTTTTTTAATTGTAGTAAAGGAGAATTCATATTATATATTAATCTCTAAATATAAAAAATAATATCAATGAATAATAAAATAAATATTTTTAGAGATAAAAATGTTAACGAGGTTTTAAATATACACAAAAAAGAGGAAACGTGAATTAAAATAAAATTTGTTTACATAAAAGTTCATTTTTAATCTTTACATTTACTAAATTGATTTTTTTTCCTTCCTATTTAAAGCTTTTTTTAAAAAATTTATAAATAAATTAATTTCAGAAGGGAAAGTGAGAAAACTAATCATAGAGTTTGAATTGCTCATAAAAAAAGTATATCTCTCAGATTTAAAGGAAATGGTAAATTGGTTGAACATGTTAATCAAACATCAAATTGAATTTAAGAGAATGTAGCAAATAAAAGTAATTCTTTATTATATAAAATTAATATGTTCTCTTAATCAAAACAATAATGTTTTCGATGTATTATTTGATTTGTTAATGAAAACAATAATTGTTTTAAATGATTTAATATAATATGTTTTCTTAATAAAAACTATAATTTTTTTAATTGATTTCAAAAATATCTTTTATTTATTTAATAAAATAATAATTTTCTTAATTAATTCTAAAAATACAATTTGTTTTTTAATAAAAAAAATTATTTTTTTAAATAATTTTAAACTAAATATATTGAACAAATTATTGTTTTAATTAACAAAACAGATTAATTTTAAATAATAAATTGAACAAATTATTGTTTTTATTAAGAAAACATATGATATTTTTGAATTTATTTAAAACAATTATTGTTTATATTAATAAAACATATTAATTTTAAATAATAAATTGAACAAACTATTGTTATCAAATAACTACTTAATATAAGTAGAAATATCTATATATTTGAATCAGTTCATCAAGACCCTCTAATAAATTGTTTATCAACCATAATATTTAATTTATATATAGTTTGTTGCAAATCTTTTTTATATATTTTTATCACATATAAGCATGACAAATCTGACAGGCAATATAAATAATTAAATTAAATTTTGTTTGGTGCCTAATGATAAGTAAGTTATTTATTTATCAATTGTAGTTAATTGGAATGTTATGAAATGGAAGATGATAACTTATCAGCAAAAGCAACTACAAAAAAAATACAAAATTAGAAAATAGGATCCTAGAAAGAAGACAAATTGTTAGAAATAGCAATTCATGAACTTGGAACTAATTGGAAGGAAGTCGCAAAATATTTATATAGCAGGAATCCTTCTTAATGCGCTTAAAGATGAAAAAGAATTAAGCCTGTGTCAGCATATTGAAAATATAGATCAAGATGACAGAAATATTCAAGTTATTAAAAGGGAGACCAGTATAATTTATTACTAAAATTTATTAGGAAAATATGATAAAAAATAGATTTATTCCTTTATTAGAAAAGAATATATGAATATTTAAAATCCTTATTATGTGATACCTAATTCCTAATAAAAACTGATGCTGAATTATCAAAATAAACTTAACTTAAATGATATTAATAATTAGAATGAAAATAGTTTATCATGCAAAAGCAGTGTTTAAAAAAAAAAGAAATAATCTAAAATCTAAAAGAAAAAGATAAAAAAATAAAACTCAATAACAAAACAAAAAGAACCAGAAAAAAAAATAAATAATAATATTATTATAGAGTAAAATGAAGAAGTTTTGAATGGAATTATCTCAGCTGAAAGTTGCGAAGTCAAAGTTAAAGAAGAAGATGATAATGAATTTTAAGCAAATAAAATTGCATAAAGTCTTTTAAGTTTAAGCTTAAACAATAATTTCAATTAATTTCATAATACATTAAATTCTTAATAATTATTTAATGAGTCATTTATATCCCTTTACAATTCTTAAGTCTTTTAAAACTAACCTTAATAATAGTAACAATTCTAATAATCATTATGTAAATATATTTATTAAATTAGATATATATTTTAAATATTATGAAGGAATTGCTAATTTAATCAAAAGCTAAAGTCTTTCATAATCCTAATTACTATAAGAGATCCCTCTAATCTTATCAAATGTTTCTAGTCAAGAAATTAATTAATCTTCACTGATGTAACTTTCACTATCAAATATGAATTTTTGTCAATTTCCTTACATGTTGAGATAAGAGTCTTTTCCTCATTCAATGAACAATTCATAATTTTGAAAGATAATTTGAGCCTTTTCACTTATCAAATATATATTTTTAATTGTTTTAAGGGATGTATTATTAATAATTTAATTTTATCTAAATAAAATCTGACATCTTTTCTGAATATAACATGGTTTAAATAACATATAACTCATTTTTCCCTATTATCGTTTGATGTAATTATGATTGATGGAGTTTATATTCAAAAGTTATAAATTTTTATATATCAAAATTAGATTTTAAGTAAAATTTCTATTATTAACTTTAAGAACTGAAAAAATAATCAATTTAGATTCTCAATTGTTTAATTTTTTTTTTAAGCATTCATTTATTATTTATTATTTCTATTACCTATATTATGAAAATAGCAGAAAAACAAAGAAAATGTTCAAAATGCTACCATTAAGAGAATAATAATATATTATCATTTCCAAAATGCAACCATGAAATTTGCAGATCTTGCTTAAGAAATCATTTCGAAAAAAAAATCAATGAATCATAATTTTAAATTAAGTTTTTAGTTTTTCCTATCTGTCTAATTTAGCGTGATAATATTGAATGGTTCAAATAAATAGTTGATTAAAAAAAGTATGACAATTATTACCATCTGTTACTGAAGCATGAATCGATGAAAACCAATGAAATTTATGTTAAATGTAAAAATAAACTTGTTTATTAGAATTTATAACATGGAAAGATGCAGGTTATTATGTTAATATTGTTTTAGATTATTATCATTGTCCATCATGAAAATTTGAATTTTGCAGAAAATCTAATAAGGAACATAAAAAAGGAGCAATATTAGGAAAAGGTGGAAAAGCTAGATAGTTATATAACATATGAAGCAAGATCTTTAGATCAGTAAATGCCCAAAATTTGAGTTCAAAAAACAGCGGGATGCAATTTGATGACTTATATATGGGAACTTATTTTTGCTATAAATGTGATAAGTAATTAAAAAAAGAAGTAAATTTTATTAATATAAGGATCACCCTAAGCATCATTAATAAAATAACCCATCCTTTAATTGTATTGCATAAAAAAAAGTAATTTCAAATTATTACTTAAAGGAGAATATTTGATTCTTTGCTTTTTTTGTAAATCTCAACTTAAATCTTATATGGAATTAAAATTTGTTTATTTTGCAAATCTCAATTCGATTTGTTTTATAATAATGTTAAGACTCAAACATTATTTTTATCATATATTGTTTTAGTTACAAAATTATTCAATAAAATAAAATTAATTTATTAACAAAAAATATAGTATTAACAAAATTGCTTTTTGTTATGATCACAATTTTCATTATTAATATTCTTAATATGTGTATTATCCAATTAAAGGAGCTAAATCAATAATTCTAAATTCTAGGGTGTCAATATTTTAAATTATTTCTTAATCATCGTGTTGCAGTTTCTAAATTTAATCTTATAACAAGGCAAACTTTCCAGTTTAAATAACTTCAAATTAATTTATTTTTTTGAATAAAACCATTGTATGCATTAGCTGATATCATATTCTGAATTAATTTAATCTTTCTTTTATTAATATTCGATGGTCTGAATCTAATATCTTAATTGGCTTATTGCTTCTCTCAATGGTTTAATACTTTATCTAGAGTTAGCAATGAGATCCTGTTAATAAACTAATCAGTATACTCTAACTTCTCTTATATGTTCGTAAGTAGTCGAAATAAATACCTCTTGTGACAATGCGTCTTCATAATGACTTATATTCATCTATAGCACTCTTGTTGAATCTGGAAATGAATCAATTCTTGTAGAATTGTTATTCAATTTATACCTACTATAAGAAGAAGTACTTATTAATTTTTTCATTAAAATAATATAAACTTTGAAAAAAATGAGTCTAATCTGAAAGAAAATTTTTAACTTTAGTTAAATCATTCCTCAAATGATCAAAAATAAATTCCTAATATATAAGTAGTATTTTTTGTATCTCAATTTTAATACTTGTTTATTATATTGAATAAATATTATTTGAAAACCTCAAATATTCATTCAATAACATAAATAGAAAAAAGAAGTTCAAGCTGATTATTTCTAAAAACAAATTAGTTGAATTAGAAAATTTCCATAAATTTTATTAATAATTATTTAAATATTATTATGATTAATTCAATTTATCATCTCAAAGTTTAATATATTTAAAGAGAAGTGAAATAATATTGGTATTCAGTTTAAATGCTAAGAACTAATAAAATATTTCAGTAATGATTAATTGATTCTAACAAAAATTACGATAATAGAAGTAAATGTCTTAAGCATAAAACTTAGAATGTAGAGTACTTTTATTACAAGGTAGGTGAAGAAATTGTTTAATATTATTGTACATAGTGTCTTTTGGAAAATGAAGAACTTAAAAAAATATCTAATGTTATACCATAAATTGAAGACGAACTTAAAAGAAAAAGAAGTTTAATATTGAAGGAATTATAAAAAATGAACATAGAAATAGAAAAATTTTTAAGTCACATCTAGACTATTATTATTGAATGGTAATAAAACGATGGAATTAGAAGAATTGGTCTAATCCTATTCATTTGATGAATAAGTGAAACTTTTTATTTCTGAATAACAATATTATAACATAACATTTAATTAACATACTAATAGAATTCTATGTTCTGTATATAGTAAAAAAATTAATTGATTTGCAACTAGTGGATGAGATGAGAAAGTATTTTTTTTTAAATTAATTGATAATTCATGGGTATCTTCGATGCCTGGTTATTATCCTGAAAATAGTGTTTATTCTTTAGTATTAAATAAAAATGAAGATAGATTAATATCAGTTGAATATGATAAGGAAATAGTAATATGGAGAATATATTAAGATAATAACATAAAAATTTGATCAGGTATTATAAGAATGTTAAGGCTTTATTTATTCTCTTGCCATTAATGTTTTAGATACTTATTTACTTTCAAGTTGTATAGATTTACATTAAATCTTTGGGAGAAGAATATGTAGACTCAAAAATATTATTTCTAACAATGATATATTTTGAAATTCAATTCTAATGTTTACAGAATAACTTTTTAGAAGAAGATTAATTTGCTATCAACATAAAGACATCATTAGATCTTTAATCTCAAACCTAAAAGAAAAATAGACAAATCATAAAATATTGATTCCTTTAATATTTTTAAACTACTAAAAAATAATGATAATTAAAAAAGAAAATGCACTTGATATTGTAAAACAATATCTAATTCAACTTTACCATTCTAAACCTTTTTCAAAATAATATCTTAGCCAAGAGAGAATGCTTTTACTATTGAAGATCTTTATCATTTTATTTTGTATTGATTTTAATATTAATAAATAATAATATAATTGTTGGATTTTCAATTATATTATCAATCATCACAAATGCTATTGTGCCTGTTGAGGCATTTTAAAAGTTATTCAATCTCAATTTGAAATACAAACGAAATACTTTATAAATCTTTAATGGGCTAAAGGCTATTTTTATAACAATTGTGTAGCATCCACATTGAACATAAATATTTATTCTATTAATTTCTTCAGAAAATTCTTCATAATTGCAGTAATCAACATTAACTTAAGATCAAATTGAATAAAATCCAAGATTGAGAAGATAAAGGGATGAGGAATGGTAAAAAAGCAAAGGGTGAAGTTCAACTTATGTTTTTAAAAAGGATTTGAAATTACTCAAAATACTAAACTCAATAAATAACATTTTGGATCTTTATTTCTTACCAAAGATATATATATCTACAGAATAATGCTTCTTTAATAGCAAGGACATTTTAAGCATTTAAGTAGTTAATGTTGATGGCTAATTAGAGTCACTTAAGAGTAATGATTTTTTTTTGTAGCTTTATGTTATGATATTCCATTAATTGAGTAATTTAATCACAATTTTAGTAACTAAATTTTATGAATTATTAAAGGAATTTTTAATTGATACTTAGAAGAGAAAAATTATTGTAAAGCAATAAAATCAAACAAAAAATATTAAGGATAAATAATAATTGATTTTGATAATTTTTGAAGTCGAGTTTTTTAAATATTTTAGATTCAAATCAAATCAGTATTCAATGTATAGTGGTCTAAATAGATGTGGAATAATCATTTACGAATCTTTCAATCATTAATTAACAATTGTTTAAGAAATTAAATAATCTATCCTCAACCTAAATAATGAATAAACTATTTAATTGAATTTCTGAGATTAGCTCATAAGAATTACTTAGTTGAAATAGAATGAGAATGTGATAAATTTAATGATTGGAATGATGAATTGATAGATGGAAAATAATAGAAAATTACTATGACCTGAATGCTATTTAATGAATCAGTATTTGTCACCTTTTAAATAATGAATTTAATATAAATTAACAAATTTTAATTATAATTTAGTTAATATAATTAAAGAAATAATTCTTTATCTTAAATTTTGGATCAAATATAAATTTCGATTATATGAATAAATAGTTTTTAAGAAGTTTTGGATCCAATTAAAATATGAAGAATATTGTTGGTTATGCTCTCTAATCCCATAACTTATGTTAATATAATATGATATAAAATGAAGATTAGAATGATAAAGAAATAGAAAAACAGCTATTAATATAGAAGTTTCTTGAAAGAGTCAGAATGAGAGAGAATTTTGAATAAAGGAATTGATAAATAATTAGAGGAGGAATTTAAGTTATAAGAAAATAAACCAATTAAGAACATTAATTTACTTTACTATGTTTGATAAAATCAAATTTGAGAATGGAACTATGCTTATTTCAAATTATCTTCTAATTTATATTAATTTATTACATTAGAATAAATAAGGCATTAATGAGTTTGATAGTGTAAGATATACTAAAACTTTGATAAGGAGATATATTTTTTAAAATAATTCAATCTATTTATAATATAAATATGCACTTATGCCAAAATAATGATGAAAGATATCTTAACCTCTTTTATAGAAAATTATTCTATGATTGAAGTTGGAAATTCAATTTAGAATTTATCAGAGTATACTTTCATAAAAATTTTTAATTCAAATAAAAAAGAAATAAAGCAATATCTTGAAATCTTATGATCCTATCTTTATTTCCCTTGAATGGAGGAAATTTTAACCATATTTATCTACTGTGTAAAATAAATTAATGATACTTAATGTTATATCAAGTTAAACTCTAGAATATGATTAATGTTATAATATATTTTATGGCAATTTGATTCTTGGAGATCAGGTTTGTTATACATAATTATTATTAAGCAATAAATTGATGTTACAATAAACGAACCAATAGTTTATTCTAAATTTAATACTGCTATTACTAGAGGAGTCAAAAGGTGAAAGATTAATTGATTTATAGTTGAGTTAAGGTTACTGCCTTCATTAATGTATGTTTAATTCTTCTCTCAAGTAGCCATATGTTAAGATGATTATATTAAAACCCGTTGCTAATTTAAATTTAAAATCAAAATAATTATTATTTCTTTAACTTGAAAACATAAATATTTCTGTTAAATAAACAATATATTTTAAAATTTAACTTTACAATCAATATTGTTTTTGAATAAATTGAATAAAAATAATTTTTGATAAATAATAATATCATTATTAAATATATTAATTTCAAGAATTATAAGAAGATTATATTCTTAAGATATTTATGCTTTAGTAAATTGGTTATTAATTTTAAACTGTATTAATTCCTTATTAGATTAAAAACAATAAATAATAAAAAAGAGTGATATACTCATAATTTATTTAAATATACTTTTTTAAAAATAAATATGAAAGAAAATGCAAGAGAAAAAGAAAAGTAAAGAATTATAATATAGGAACAAAAAAAGTTAATTGTCTAAAAATTATATTAAAAATCATTATTCTCACTTTTTAATAAAACCTTTCTAAGGAATTATATCATGTTTTAATTCTGCTGGGCCAACATATTCAACAGAGATCCTTTGGGAGGGTAAAATCAAAGTAATTGACAAATTGAATCCTAAACATGAGGTGGGGACTTGGAAAATAGTCAATATATCACATTCTTTAACCTTTAAGAATATTGTTGGTAATTCAAGTGGTTAAAGATGCTCAAGCACTTTCTATTTCAGAATTGGTTGGTCTACATATAACTTTAAGAATCCGTTTAATTTAATAGAGAAGATTTGTTTTTAATTGATTATTTCGCCTTAGATACATCAAACTGACTAGAGATCAATAGAATTAGTATATTTAGGTAGATCACCTAATAGTATTTAGAATATATTATTATTCAATATAATTGACTGTACGAAGAAACATTAATCCTACATCAATTAAATCAATTAAGAAGGTATTGAAAAACCTACTCAATTAATCAATTTGTAATAATCAGAATGCAAAATAACTTAAAATAATAATAATCGTAACCAAATATCTTTCTCCTTAATCAAAAAAACCTTATCTTTAATTGAGAACTAATATCTGTAATAGTCTCTTTTTCTTATGATCTGCAATGTAATCTTAAGTGAAAGAAAGATAAAAATAATATATTAATTAATAATCATATCACAAGCCTCTCCATTCCAAAAATTCTATTCCTAGACACAATCAGCCTCAAGATATTGTTTGTTAGCAATCAAGTAAATCATTTGTAATAGTTATGTTAATCGTAAATCAAAATTACATAAATCTGCAGAAAAGAATCGCTAAGAAACATCTACATCTACAATTTATTACTAAAATATTGGTAAGAAGTTTACATCTCCTAAATATGGAGAGTTAAATACATCATGTATCGTGTTGATTAATTATCTTTAATTTGATCTATATTATATTTTTTATATTATAATCGGAGGATTACAATTAAAATTTTACTTAATGATTTGGTAAAAATTTAAGTTTTGACGCATATTTTTTAGTTGATTATTAATCAATAAAATTAATAAAATTATATATTTAAGTAATTTTTCTTTTAATGAGAATGACATAGCAAATTTATCAAATGCTAGAGCATCAACAATAGAATCACCAGCTTCAGTAGGAGATAATTCATTGCCTTAGCCTAGCAATAATAAATAGCTACAGTTGCATCAACTTATTAAACTAAATTATAATTTTCATCATCTGCTGCTTAAACTTTTCCAGAATTTAAAAATAGCTTAAGATTCTGGTTCTTCATCTAATTTTGTACAAATTTTAATAATAATGTAAGTTAATTCTGTCATACAATTTTCTGAGTGTTCAAATTTGGCTGTTTGTTTTGCTGCAGTAACTCCATATGACATTGAAACTGATTGTTTTGATCTAAATAGAAAAAAGAAGGAAATGCACTAAACAGATCGACTTGAAAATGAATCATAAATTGCATAAGGATTATCGCCAAATTTACTTAATTATAAGTAACAGTTTTAATATTGGATTCATCATCATCACTAATTTTAAATTTCTTATTTAGATTTAGTTTGATTTGAACCTGTTAAAGATTCAACCTACTTTGAGGAGTAGCAAGAGATATTTAATGGAGAATGATCCACCTGAAAATTTTTTAGGATCAGCAGTCAACATCCTCCTTTTTTATCTTATTTGATTTAGTTCCATTTAGAAAATTTTTAATAAGATTTTAAAATTTTTATTTGAATTATTTGAATTATTTGAACAATCTTTGACTAAAATATAAATAATTGAATAGCAACTGCTGAGTAAATAATTAGAATCCATAATTCCAATCTAAACGTTGAATCTGAATTGGTTTTGCAACTCCAATCACAATTTTGTAAATTAATATCAATTTAAATTATTGAATTTTTCATCCAAGCACAATATTTAATAATTATTTTATAAAATATATATTTATTTAATCTAAGGTTTTTAACAATAAATTATTTTAAATTCTATTAGAATTATAAGATTAATCAATAAAATAGCTTGATTAGCATTTAAGTCATTTTGTAAGTCCTACTAATTTTTCATCTCACATGTTTTAATATATTTTTCTAGAAAACGTACTCATACGATAGGAATCATCAACTCTATTAGCAGAATCTACATATGATGGGGGAACAGTTGAATTATCTGTGTAAGTTTTACATAATCCAATGAATTGAACACCTGAGTTATTTTCAACAAAATTTGCATCTTAACAACCAGAAAAACATCTTGATTAAGACAGAATTAAAATATTACATGATATAAGTACACTAAACTGTTCAAGATATTTAATATAATTATTGATTTAATCAATTATAAAATTTAAGATGAAGTGTGTCAAATACGCAAACAGAATTTTAATTAATAAGTGAATATCACTCTCCACATTCCAGTATTAGAATTGAATTCAACTTTTTAAAAACTCAGATAGAAAATTTGAATTAAGATTAAATATAGACTA